GACAGCACAAACTTAAGAGATTAGTCCAATCCTCTCATACTACAAGGGCCTAGAAAAGGACAGAGCCTACCCAAAACCACAGAGGAAGCTACAACCAGAATTTAGGTCTCGATTCCTAATTAACATTCTTCTCTGGTACCCCAACAGTTCCTTAGCCACCTTATTGCATTATTCCTAAGAGTAAATCCAGAGGTGTAATTTGAAATAGTTCACTACATGTACAAAATTTCTTTAAAAATTCATAGTAAAAAGTAACTGGATTTTTTTTAATAATAGGAATAATCACCATCATTACTTTTTGATTTCTTACTTATGTGATAATTACAATAACATAACGATACGATAACAGTATCAATGACTAACATTCATATGGCATTTATTACATGCCAGGCACAGTTTTGCGTGCTTTTACATGTACTGACATTTAATCCTCACAATAAACTTATGAGGAAGAAACTCTAATATTCCCATTTTACAAATATGGAACCTGAAGTTAAATAGCTTGCTAAAGGTTACACTTCCAGTACATGGCAGAGCTGAGATTAGAACCTACCTAGGTGGTTGAGTTCCAGAGTCTATAGTTTAACCACTCACAAGACTTTACCGCCTCCTTAGCAAAAGTTAAATGAATGAAGGAGTTAAATGAATGAATGAGTGTAGCTTCACCAAAGCAGAATGTAAACACTGCCTTCAGATCTAGAAAACCTAAGTTTTTTGTTTCCCTTCAAAAATGACTTGAAAGGGTACAGTATTTACCTTGTTACTGAAATCACCTACTCCCCGACACCACCCCCACACACACCCATGCCAACGTGGAACATTTGAAGAGAGTCCAGTTTCCTAAAATGTCACCTGCACAGCCACTTAATTTATGCCAGTTTCTGCAAAGTGAGCTGAAGGCTCCCACGTCAGCAAATCCTTCCCTAAAAACATTAATATTTTTAAAAAAGGAAGAAAAAAAAAAGGAAAGTGACCATTCCTAGACACAGTATTTACATCAGACTTCCCAAGCTCTTCATCCTAAAATTGTTTTCATGAGTGTAAACGAAAGAAAAGTATTATTCACCCCCTCCCAGCTGACAAAAGGTCAAGTGTCAGAGCTGGTAGCCACATCTCTAAAATAGGGAACATTGTACCTGAGAGGTAGAATAACATAGTGGCCCCAAAAAAAGGTCTGTCTGTGGTCAAACAGAGCTGGATTGGAATCCTAGTTCAGTCACTTGCTGTTTGCATAAATGCAAAATATGCCTAAGAAAAATATCTATTCCATAGGATTGTTGTGAATGTGAAGAGGGAACAATGTGGAATGTAAACACTCCCCATGTGTCGGTCCCTAATTTTTATTCCAAAGATGTGACAATCATTTTTCTGTTTCAGGAGGACAGCACATAAACTGCCCACCTACCCCCTAACAACTTTCTCATTTCTCCTTTACGGTCTTCAGAGGAGTTTCTGCCCTCAGAGGCAGGAGTGTATGTGCTTGTTAAGAGCACTGGCTCTGGGATGTGTAGCCCAGCTAGCCTACTTACTCTCTGTGTGACTCCTGTGCCCCCACTTTAGGTTCTTTATCTGTGAAACGGGGATGATCTCAGAAGGTTACTATGAGGATTAAACCAGCCAATATATGAAAAGTGCACAGAACGGTGCCTGAATATAGCAATGTACGTAAATGTTAGTTGTTACACTTCTCCCCATAGGTAATATAGTTCAAATTTTTAGCACATGGAGAATAACAAAATTATTTTAGAACTCTAGACTGTTAGATCTGGAAGAACTCTTAGGAATCATTTCTAGTTCAACTCTCTTATTTAATAAATGGTCTGCAGGGAAGACCACAGCTGCTATATGGTCTGTCCAGGATTAAAACCAGGCCTTGCCCGGCCGGTGTGGTTCAATGGTTGAGCATCAACCCAAGAACCAAGAGGTCACCAGTTCAATTTCTGGTCAGGGCACATGCCCGGGTTATGGGCTCAATCCCCAGTAGGGAGTACGCAGGGGGCAGCCAGTTGATGTTTCTCTCTCATCGATGTTTCTCTCTCTCCCTCTACCTTTAAAAATCAATAAAAGCGTATAAAAAACACACACACACACACAAAACCCCAAGCCTCCTGATTCCTATTCAGTGCTCATACCATACCACTGTACTTCCTCTTCTTAATGAAAACAGTAGAGTCATGCAGTTTCTCCTGCCTGCAAACCACCAGGCCAACTTCAGGAAAGAGCCAGAGCTACTTAGACAATGTCATGTAATTGCCTGCTTACTTGTCTTGATTAGTCTTCACACTACATACTTCCCATTCCACAGGCTTTTCTTACAAGGTGAACTCGACATTCCCCCATGCAGCAAGAGTGGGGGAGGTTAATGTCCCTCCCCCCTGAACCGGCCCAGACAGAGTATAATGGGAGCTATGCTATGTGACTTGTAAAGCTAGATAATAAAAATGCAATGCATTTCCACCTTGTTCTTTTGAGGCACTCACTCTTGAAATCCAGCTGTCTTACTGTGAGGAGGCCCACACTAGCCCATGAAGAAACTGAAATCACAGAACAGAGAAACACACCTTCCCCACTGTGCCTTCTTTGAATTCCTGACCCACAGAATTGTGAACATAATAAAATGATTTCTTTACACCACTACATTTTTGAGTGGTTTGTTATACAGCAACGATAACTAGAATAACCACAAGAGCTTCATGTCTAACAAGGAATAAAAATACTGAATACATGACTCCAAGGGATTGCCTACAACTAACACAGTAACTAGAACAGAGTAAATTATCTGTTGATGTCTCAGGTAGTTATTATTATGCCCACTTTTGCAGATGAGAAACTAAGCTTTGAGAAGTTAAGCAACTTGCCCTAGGCCTCTTAGCTTGTTAGTGGCAGAATAAATTAAAACTCAGGTCAAAACCCACACTCCTAACACTACCCTTCTGTCTCCCTTGGTACTGACAATTTTACACCAAATATACAGTAATCTGTTTTAAAATGGGGTTGACAGTATTTAAAACATCCTGGCCCAGTAGAATTCACCGTGTAGTTTCATCACTGAGATGGAAACCCACATATCACCTCAGAGAAGCATTCCCTGACCTTCCTAGTTCAGGTAATATGAGTTCCCTCATCCTTTCCAGCCTCTCCATCGCAATTTCATTTTTTTTCCAGTACTTATCCCAAGCTGAAATTGTCTTATTGACAGGAGTGTCCAAGACAGTGCCTGGAATATGGTAGGTGATCAAAAATTATTTACTGAATTAAGGAGGGACTGTATTCAGGCACACTGAATGTCCACAAAATCTCATCACACGCCGATAAATGAACAAATAGGGAGGATAAGAGAAATCGAATTTCAAACAGCAGAACTGCAGGAGAGTCTTTCCATACAGTAAGATCAGTACAAAAAAAAAAAGGAAGGGGAGGGGAGGGGAGGGGAATCAACGCTACCACTCACCCGCTTAGAAAAGCATAAACTCTGAGTTCGAATGAAGATGTAAGAAATGGGATGGAGTAGGGAGATCACATCTTCTATTCTCTGTTCATAACCACTGAATAACTCCTCAGCACTCACAAACAATTCCGTTTCTTCAGACACACTAACGGAAGCACAGGAGGGACAACTGTTGGTGGCCCCTCTAACTTCAGACCCTCTACTCTCTTTTAGCCCTTCCTTTTGCACCAGTCACCACTTCCTGGAATGCAGGTATGGTTCCCCCGAGGGCAAGGAGGCAGTAACCTTCTTCTTGAGGAAGAGGTAAGTTGGGGAATCTTCAGACCAAGGGCAAGGCTCTCTGTATATGCATGTCCAAAAAAGGCCCTATTTCTCCTAGCAGTAAGGTGGCTGTTCCTGAGGACCTACCAATGCTAAGCACTGTGCTGGGCTCTTAAACATGCTTCTTCTAATTTAAGGGCCATTCCTTACCCCATCCCAAGAACAACGTCCCATCACATCATGCCCTAGACCCGCTCCTCCCTACCCCAAGAAATCTTCTTCAAACTCCAAGAGCGGTTGGCTAGGATAAAAAAGAATCTGGCGTGACTAAAGAGATAGAATGGGAGGGGGGTCGTGTTAAGAGGAGAAGAGGGTTATACTGGGCTGGGACCCAGGATAAGTAAAGATTAAGATAAGAATGCGGTCTGACCCTTTCCAAGCCCAGTACGTCCATCAGAAAAGGTGACCAGGAGCAGGAAACTGAAGCCCAGCAAACAGGTGGCCCCGAGACGAGGCCGCAGCTCCATGGTGGTAAGTGTGCGGGGCCACCGGGCAGAGCGGACGCAGAGCCGGAGTCCCACAGCAGCAGGTCCGCGCCCTTCCCCAAACGCGGCTCAACTCAACCCCTCGAGTTCCCAGATTTTTTCCCCCCTTAACTCTGAAGGAAGTGATGTTAAACGGATGTGGGTGGTGCCTCCGGGGTCCGGATTGTGATCGAGTGAGTTTAAAGGTGCAGATCACGTAGAAGGGTATAGGTGTTGCTCTCAAACCAAGTTGCTTCCCCCTACCCAACCCCGATTTTGGATGTTCTGTCGGAAGACATAGAGAGAAAAAAGTGGGCTGAGATAGTGATGGGGTGCGGAGGAAGCTTCGGAAACCGTTGCTGGTTGCGTCTGCCAGCAGGCTAGCCCCGCCCCCTAGAACCGCTGCACTTAATATTAACAACGCAAATTATCGATCGGCGAAGTCAGCCGCGCCAGTGGGCGGGTTGCCCATTGGCCTCGGGTCCCACTTCCCCCGCCGCAAACATAAAAGACTAGACTACTGGATTTCATTCTTGGGTTCCTGCTTGGTCTTCAGGAGACCTAGAAAACCTGTACATGGTCTCCGTGCCTTGCAAGAACGCCTCTTCTTGCTGGAGAAGAAGCGCTGGACCTTATTTTCCTGGCAACCGCAATTCTTCCACTCAGGGATTATGCAACTAACCAATGCCTGCTCTGAAAAATACCCGAACTTGGTATCTGTTATTGCAAAACTGACCTAGCTTAGCTCTTCAGGGAACCAGGACAGAAGTCACTGCAGGCATTTAAACTGTAGAGCTTCTTCTGGTTAAGCCCGTTTGCTTTTGTTGTTTTTTATTTATTTTATTTATTTTTTCTTTTTTTGCTTTTGTTGTCTTTAAACTTTGTGGGTTGAGTATTTCTCCAAATTTTTTTTCTCTGTATGTATTAACAGGTCAAAATGTCCTGTCTCGCCTCCTAGGTGGAGACTAGTTGAGTACGACAGAGCATACTTAATGCCTAGTAAAGACATCTGACAAAGTACACACCCAAACAAAAATACACACTGCGCTTTTATTAGGCTCCCTACCTATCGCAGGCACCAACACAATGGAAAGCTTGGGAGACTGCAAGCTCCAGAATGCACCGCGGCCACCCGCACCTGTCACCTTTCCATTGGGAGGCGCAGAGCAGGCTGGGCCCTGTAGTTCGCACTCGCTCTCCCCGGATAGGTTGCTCTGGTGAGGGCTGGCTGTATCACGTGGGCCCCGCTCCCGCCGCCGCCGCCTCCGTCGTCTTTCTCTGTCTGGGCTGAGGCAGCCATCTTGCTCTTGCCGCGTGCTGGTGTTGGAGGACTCTCCCTGCTTCAGGTGAGACCCCCGGCGGTCCCG